GTGATGTGACGATGATTATGTTTATATATTTTTTTATACCCAGGAGAGCCTTATGTCCTCTTATTTCGGAGGATCCTGTATTGGGATATATGGCCAATTTCATGAATGGGTGTTTGATGTATGGGAAGAATACCATAAGAAATAATAGGGGTTTTCTCCTTTTTTCTAGCAACAAAACTGAAACCTTTTAACAACGATTCATGTCTGCATTAACCACAATACTTGCAGTTAAAATGCAAACAAAAAACATACTATGATAATATATGCATTGTCCTTGAAACTGATTGGTCCACACCAGGGATGGCTTTCTTTTGAGCCTCGACCCAATTAGTGCTCGACCAGAGGACGCCAAAAAGCGTACAGCTCAAAGACAATGCACTATCAAAGTAATGGCCACCAGAAAAAAGGGGAAAACCCCTATTATTATATTTTGGTACTGGCAATGGAGGTCTAATGATACCCTAAGAAATGTCGTGGATTATAGGGAGCGACGCTGAGATGAGAAACCCCACACATATGCTTTCAATAATCTGTTACTATACTGACCACTGCACAGCTGAAATCTCTAGCACCTGCTATTCCTATGAAGTCAAATCCTAACCAAGCTGAAATCTGCTTAGCCTCAGATATCTGACGAGTTCAGGTGCATTCAGAGTGATTTGGCTGCGGGCAATTATGATGATTGTGAAATCTCGCTCATTGTTTTAAAGGGTTTTTATTTTAATATGCCTTTGTTTTTCTCCGTTAAATCAAGGCACTTGCATGCTACCGTCCACACGTTGCATTCTTATCAAATGCGGCGTGGTGGCGAGACGTTATCTGCCTCGCCTGGTATACAGGAGGTCATGAGTTCGATCCCAAATCTGACGCCTGCCGTATATTTTGAGTTTGCATGTTTTCCCCGTGGTCGCGTGGATATTTTTCTCTTATGTCCTCGGGTTTTCCCCTCCACGTTTAGAACACACGCGTTTAGAGTATTTGGCTGCTATAAATTTCCACGTGATAAGCCACTTCATTGCGCTATCATTTGTGGCCAGGTCGCTACTGAAAAAGAGCTTTCTAGCTCAGTTGGCCTTACCTGGTAAAATACTATTTTTTTTTATAGTTTTAAATTGTTTAAAGAGATGACTCATAGCAATGCTATTGGGTTTCAAAATAATTCATAGATGAAAATGAATACTCAGGTGAGTCAAGTGACTCGGGGGGGGGGGGGGGGCAGATGATCCATTTTTATTGTGGTTAAATCACAATTCCAGATTTATCCCACAGACAAATTTCGCTCTGCTGCAAGAGATTAGGTCTATTGACTTAACACGGATAATCACACACTAATAATGTCATTTATTTGTTCTGGGGCGATGCCTCACTGAGTGTTGAGACTCGTTTCATTCCCCCCCGCCCCCCCTCGAAAATTAATTGTTTGGTCAATTTTTCTAAAGGGGTCATTTGTCTGCGGGAGGGAGGAAACGCGAGGAGGCCGCCGGGAAAATCCACTCAACGCAACGGGACGCAGCGGCAGTGAAATCCACACGGACGGGTTCGCAAACACGCCCTGCTGTGTTTCGCGCTCCTTTAACCGCCTTGAGCCTCGCAAGCTTTTGGCGCTTCCACAAATCTGCACGGTCCCGCCAACCTTTGCGCGCAAAGCGCCGCATTACCGAAGGCTCGCTGCCGGAGTAGCGGATTTTTTTTTACCACTGCAACGATGTTCCTCTTGGCCATGCACCCGCTATCCGGACCTCCCAATTGTCCGTATCCCCAAATTGATCCGTGCAATATCCTGTTATCAGATAAATTCTCCTTAAAGTATAAGCCAGCTGGATTACAGCTGCGAGGAGCTGGATTACTGGCTGTGTGCGCCACTGCACCCAGCGAGGGATAAGAAGAGTGAACAGTGGAGAAATCTTCGTGTTGTCTGTGTGTAGCCGCACGTTTTTTGGTCTTGTCCGTACGGCTTTGTACACGGACTCATAAGCCCATGTCATGGTCTTGTATGTATGTATGTTGGACTTCTTTCGCACCCCACGTAGCCAACTATGCTAAGCGGAGCCAAAGGGCACCTTTTACTCGCGCAGATAAACACGGAGAACAGAAACTAACCCTACTACCGCCACACATCAAATCCAATATGAGCACTCATTAATCGGCCTTTATATGTTGAGAAACACAGAGCTTTGGCAATTGTTTGGCGTCAGCTCGCCACGTGGATGCCTTACTCGCTTGTCTCTGTGGTTCATCACACCTCTGAGTCGCTCTCTCTCTTAAAGAGCGAGTCTATACTGTGCGTTTTACAAGTTGTCATCATTATTATTAAACAGTTTTGCTTTGTCCAAACTCAACTCAACTGAACGTATCCACCGGCATAGTTTCATAGATATCTGTGCACAATATAACTGTTTTTATAACGTGGGGCGGGTAGACGAGACTCACTTACTTGACTGGATTGTCAAAGTTGCGCTTGTTACCATATCCAGGATGGGCTGGGAAATAAAAAATCTATCGTTTTTTTGCACGTGGAAAATTGCTTATGTTTTGTGCAGTTGTGAACACGAGCGTTTGATAAGCGATGCAATAACGATGTATAATTGAATCAGACGTAATTATAATGATTTTTTTTCTCTCCATGGCTGCTGCTTCTGCTTGCTGCTGCAAAAAAAGCATTGGTGGGGCTGCTGATGTACTTAAGAATGGAAGAGGCTCATTTTAATTGCCTAATAAGCAGCATATGAAAAGCTGAGGGTGGTCACCACAACTTTTGGTCTCATTTCGCACGTAACAACATTAGAAAAACATTGCAGAGTGACGTAATGAGATTACACAAATTAGATGTACCTAAATTATCGTGTAATAATTAGCATTCATCAGATTGGGAATGTTACCGACTTTAGAAGATGCTCACAGTTTACGTGTTGTTATTGGTATTTAAGAGTTTTCTCGGGGTATAACTGTGCCGTCGCAGCAAGCGTTGGGTGGCCGTCACGTGACCTGCATATTGCGTCCCATGAATTGGAAAACCAACTCGTAGACTTCGTCGTGAAGGAATACGGTGGCACGTTTAGAGGAATAAAAAAAAGATATAGGAGCCTGCGAGATCTGTAAAACTTGTTGGGTCATCACCGCTCACAGCCCCTGTGAACGCACATAGGGTTCACAAACCATTCCATCGCGCGTGTCACCGGCCGCATCTTGCTCGTAACGTGTCGCACAAAGTTGCCGCAGGTGGCGTGTACGGCACGTCGCCGGAGCGAAGAGAGAAGGGACCGTTACACGATGTGTGTGTGCGCAGCGCGCGCTGTTGAACTCCATGGCAATTTGCTTGAGCCACTTCAGATCGAGCAAACTCTGGTCCTCCAGTTTGCTTGCGTTGAACCAATGCTGCTGAAATTGCGCACGCCCAGAAGGCGTTGTGGTTGACAGGAAGTGTAAAAAAAAAGACCTTAATTTTTTAAGTGAAGGGACAGATATTACTAATATCAGCCAAAAATGTATGTGTGTGTGTCCCGCGTGTGACGTCACTCCACGTGAGGCCCACCCCCCCGCGTGACGTCACTCCACATGAGGCCAACCCCCCCGTGTGACGTCACTCCACGTGAGGCCCACCCCCCCACGTGACGTCACTCCACATGAGTCCCACCCCTTCCCTCATTAATAATCATGAGCGGGTGACGTCACTCCACAGGCTGCACCCCTCCACAATAACCATTAGCCGGTAACGTCACTCCACATGGGGCAACCCCACCCCTCATTAATGATCATGAGCTGAACAATGTTTCTATTGAATATTTTAGATTTACTGCAATATACACTCATCCTTTGGACGGGCAAACAAGCTGGTATAAAATATTGTCTACTTCATAGGACCTCCCTTGCCAGTATCAAAATATGATGATAGGTTTTATCCCTTTCTGGCAATAAAACAGTTGTGTTAAGATGCGTGTTCATCACAAGTATGTGTGGTTAATGCGAACGCGATTTTCTTTGCAAAAGGTTTCGGTTTGGTGTTTGAACATCTTGACACAACTGTTTTATTGCCAGAAAGGGTAAAAACCTGTTCTTACATTGTCTACTTATTCATTTTGTTCGTTCTATTTTCCGCGACGACACGAATGGTTATTTTGTGCCTGTCAGCGATTGCAGACAAGAAACGGTCGTTTGAAATTCCTCGTATCATCAATCATAGAAAAAAGTAGTTCATTCAGTTCCGCTGTCAATTAATCAACTTTATTGACTAACAGCGCCAAGCGCGAATTGAACTGGTGGTGTGTTATGTGAGTGGCACGTTGACTGTTCCTTGGAATCTGAGAGTGCGTGGGATAATGACAGAATGAATTTAATCAAATCTCTGGTTTACATTTCATGTCTAAACTCATTCAATAATGGAACTACGTTTGTCATTTAGCACAATAGCCCTCAAATATATTGATGGTTTGCTAAATGTGGTTGGTTCAATTGATCGCGAGAGTGGCTTTTGGGATAGATGCTCACTTTTTAGCCAGGGAGACCGGGGCACAGTGCTTCTCTCATCTAGTTAAGTCAAAGCGTCTCCCTGCTCACGCTATCCTGGGATGCTGCTCATCTCTGTGCGCAGCCTTGAGCCGGTCGTGAGAATTCCGTAGTTTTCTTTTGGCAGCCTTTCTGTACGACGTGAACCGCTGTCGTCTTCCGACAAAGTGGTACTCGTTTTTATCGGTCCTTAGAGCGATGATGGGAGACATTGACCCCCCCCCCCCCCCCCCCCCATGGCAGGATTTAGACTCACAATCTTCTGACTACGAGTCAAGCATGCCGAGACACTCGGTTCGAAATGTGGAAAGATTTTCTAAAAATGTAATTTAAAAGAAAACCACCTCCCCATAAATTCTCCAATTATAAATCAAGCCCCGTTTAAAATGCATGCATTATTCACAACGGAGTGAACCAATAAAACAGCCGAAATTCAATTTAAATAACACTGACACTCAGCGCGCTCTCTCTCTCTTTTTTCTGCCCGTGTTTTCTAGACAACAACAATAACCATGTGACCGTCTTTCTGCCAAAGAAGCTGTTGGAGTGTTTGCCCAAGTGTTCGACCTTGCCCAAGGAGAGGCACCGGTGGAATACTAACGAGGTGAGCGCGCCCGCACGCACACGCACGCACACGCACGCTCGCCTGCCCCGCTCGCCTGCTTGCTCGCTCGCCCGCCCGCTCGCTCTTGTGTGTACGCGCAACACGGCGTGACCACCACGCTGCAGGGTGGATCATTGCCATTGGAAAAGCACTGACCTGCCTCCTGTCCCTGCGTTTTTTTTATTTTCTCTATGTTCTTTTTTCCTCCTCTCCCTTCTTGTGGATTGGAACTCTCTATTACATACAGATGATTGCCATTTCGCTGAGTGAGTGAGTGAGTGGGTGAATGATGTCAATTGTAATGATGATCTAAAAGGCCCAGACCGGTGAAATTTGGTTAGGGGCTTTGCCGAGTCTGTGCTTTTTAATCATCGGTATTGGCCTAAGAATTAGCACAAAAGCGTTGATGCTTATTGGCACAAAAGAATCGAGTCTGTGCTTATGACTCGAAAAACAAACAGAAAAATACGTTTCTTCGAAATTTGGGCCATTCCCAAAAATTATGGGCCAGAGGTTGTTTAGTTTCACGGGCAATGCAGAGGTGAGCCTACAGTTGTAAAACGCTTAACGCGTTGTGCTAAACCTTTACAAGAATGTCACATCCCCATCAGTGAACCAAGTAATTTGCCCTTCATAAAGTGTGACACTAAAGCCAATAGTGAGCAAAGCCTACTGCGGTTACTGGTGCAATAATATTTATTGGAAATCATTATCACGCTTACAAATTATGGCAATAGTACGTATCAGCAGCAAAGAGAGATTCTCGCTTCAGGTAAGAGATGATAATTGCTGCGCCACTCATTTTCGCCTTCGACGTGCACGTTGTGGTGCGTCTGTACCTCCTCTCCACCACGCAACGATCCCTCCCTCCCTCAACTCCCTCCCTCCTTCAACTCCCTCCCTCCCTTACACCCTCAACTCCCTCCTTCAACTCCCTCCCTCACTTTCTCCCTCACTTCCTCCCTCAACTCCCCTTCCCCACCCCCATCAATACCAAGGCCTTTATAGAGGCGAGGGTCTTGGGGGGGGGGGGGGGGGTCTTGTGTCAGGCCCGGGGCCATGCGATGAGAAGCCACAGGGAAGGCAGGGGAAGGGAGCGATGGGGGAAGGCACCGCCACCACCTCCTCGTTCATTAATCCCACTCGCTTTTGGCGGGCAATAAGAAAAACGGCTCACATCATGCGAACTTTCGTTTTTTTTCCATTACTCTCCAGCCGCCGCGTCAATGTTTTGTCCAATTCACAACTGCGGGCATCGTCATCGTCCGTGCGGCGTGCAGCGAGCCAGGTTTTACGTTTTCGACTGGCGCCCGTGACACAGCGACGCGCGCACGCACGCACGCACAAGCACACGCACGCACAAGCACATGCATACGCACGTCCAAATGCCTTGGCAGTGACGTTGCTCGACGCTGCACGGTATCTTTCGGCGTTCTCTCTTACACAGCCCACGAGGCCGCGTTCGTTTGGCTTGTGCGGATGAGTGACAAGTCGGTTTTTCTCGGTGCCAAATTGAACATCAATTTCTCCGAGAGAGGGGGCTTGACTCAATTCACGGAAGGGGTACATATGCCGCGCATGGCTTTTCGCGGTTGTGCTGTGCGTCTCTCCGATGTGTTTTCGGGGTTGTACCGCGCATTGCTCGGTACGGTGAAGAAGCTCCCAAACGTCGGAGAGCCTTGGCAAAATGCTTTTTCTGGAGGGAAATTTAAGCACACATCGTTGCATTTGCTACGCTCACCACTTAAATTGTCAAACTCACTACGCGTGTGAGAACCTGTGTGTAGTGCGGAGCGGTCGTGTTGTGGTGAGCTCGCTGGGCTACGAACCCGGCAACATGGGTTCTATTCCCGCTCGCAGCCACCAACACCAGTGACGATTATCTGAACCGGTCCTGGGCCTCCCCAAGGTCGACTCAGCCTCAAATTAGTACCTGGTGCGGTTTGTTAAAACATCGCCACTAGGGAGACAAAGGCGGCCGGGCGTGGTGCTAGCCACCCAGCCTCTCGTGTGCCACCGTGCCGGCCTTTATAGGTGCTTGGTAACAGCACTTGTCCCAACAGTCTGTTCAGGCTATATGGGGGATCTTTGTCTTTGTGCGGTGGTGAGGCGGTAGTTGTAGCGGTTAGCGCTACGCTGCGCTCGGAATCCGGCCACCCGAGTTCGATTCCCGCTCATGGCCAACGCCGGTGACGATTATCTAAACCGACCCGGGGTGTCCGCTAGGTCAACTCAGCCTCAAAATGACTACCTGGTGTGGTGTGTAAACATCGCCACCGGGGAGACAAAGGCGGTCGGGCGTGGTGCTGCCACTCACCCCCTCGTGTGCCATGTCGGCCTTCATAGGTGCTACCTGCAAACGGCACTTGCCTCAACAGTCTGTTCAGGCTATATGGGGGATCTTTGTATTTTGTCTTTTATCTTAGGATGTCCAATTTTCAGGGGCTCGTGTTTTGGCCCAGCGGGGCGTGCCGTTAACCCACTGGGGTCTCACCACAGCCACGTCCAGCAGGAGACTTGAATGCTGGTCATGCTCGTGTGCAAATAAAAATTTGTCACCAGACGCTGCTGACGACTTGGCCCATTAAGCACGGTGGGTGAATTGTGAGCAGATATTTTTGGAGTCTTGTATTTGCCGTTAAAAATAACTCGAATCGCTGAGGTCAATTCTGCCCCAGGCAGGTGACCGCTGTCATTCAGCAGTAATAATTATTTGTGGGCAAACAAGGCACGGGCCATTGTTGTCAACATACAGAAAACCTGATCTCACAGTGGATAGAAAATGGCTGATTAATATTTATAGTTCTCATCGACTATTTGGACTTTGTCACAACGGGGCACTTGGGAAGATCTCATTTCTCGCACAAAAATACAAAGATCCCACATATAGCTGTTGGGCAAGTGCTAGTATTAGCGAGCACCTATGAAGACCGGCACGGCACATGAGCGGGTGGGTGGCCAGCACCACGCCCGGCCGCCTTTGTCTCCCCAGTGGCGATCATTTTACGCAACGCACCATCTACTCATTTGAGGCTGAGTTGACCTCAGGGAGGCCCAGGACCGGTTGATATAATCGTTACTGGTGATAGCCGTGAGCGGGAAACTCGGGTCATCGGGTTCGCATCGCAAAGCGTGAACCGCTGCATTAGCGTTCCCCATCGCTCGCTCGCACGCACACACACACGTAAGTAGATATGAACACGCAAATAAATGACACACGCGCACGGCTCTAGATCAATGTGGGAAGTGCTTGGCAGGGCTAAGTACAAGGCTACCGAACATGTCGTGACGGGGTCACCTCGCCACCTTTGTCCATTACAACTTAAACGCATGCTTAAACCACATGGCCCTATGCATACAGTGGAGCGTGTTAAGTATATTGAGAAATTGTCGTTGTGCAAGTGTGTCATGTGTGGATGCAGTACACGCGCTCATCCAGAAGGAGGTTATCAGATATGTGACGAGCAATGGATTTATCGATGAGAGTGGCAGGGCGGCACAGTGGCGGAATTTGTTCATGTTCACTCGTAATGCAATTATTTGATGGATGGTTAATTATTATACTCTTAGGTTTTTTTTTCGGTAAAGTCACGTAGGTAAAAAATAAAATGACTAAAAGTAATAATAGAAATAAAATAAAATATTTCAATTTTATTTCTGTTATTACTTTTAGTAAAAATGTTTTTACTTGACTTTACCGAAAAAAAAAAAAACCTAACAGTATGAATCCTTGCAGTCACGAAAGCTTCAAATCTAGGTTAATTATTAATCCACTTCGATACGAGTAACCCGAGTTCGATTCCAGGCCATGCGCACTTTTGCCTACTCGCATCGAACCGTCTATTGGAGAGCTTCTCTGGGCCGAAGCGCCGTGATGTTGTTACTTGGCCTGTCCTGTGGACATCAGCATGGCTGTAGCCACACCAGCCCACGGTAGGCCAGGACTGATCGTCCTCGGCGCTTGCTGACGGCACAATTCTCTATCATTTGTAAGTCTAAAAATGAGATGGGTTTTTTTCTTGGTTCTTTCAGTAAAGTCACGTAGAAGGGAAATAATAAAATAATAAAAATAAACCATTATATATTTTATTATTTCCCTTCTACGTGACTTTACCAAAAGAACCAAGAAGATGAATCCCTGCAGTCACGAAAGCTAAAAAATCGAAATGTATGGTTTTTTTTGTTTGTTTATGCCTTATACAAGACAATGACAACGAACCCCCCGTAGAGCCTTTAACAGACTGTTGGGGCAAGTGCTGTTAGCGAGCACCTATAAAGGCCGGGGCAGCACACGAGGGGGTGGGTGGCCAACACCACCGCCCGGCCGCCTTTGTCTCCCAAGTGGCGATGTTTACACGCCGCTCCCGATAGGTACATTTGACTGGTTCAGATTATCGTCACTGGTGTTGGCCATGAGCAGGAATCGAACTCGGGTCGCTGGATTCGTAGCGCAGCGCTATGACCACTGCGCCACGTACACACGCACACATGTCATGGAGTGCTGTTATAATGAAAAGTACACGTTCACAGTGCAACATGCATTATTGGAGTATATATCTTTGGCACGTATTTAAAATTCAGTGCAGTGTTTGAACACAGAATAATTCCACCCAACACGGGCAACGCGAGCTATTTTAGGAGATAATTATTGCGGCACAGCAGGGATATGTCGTGCACAGTGCCGGATTGCCCAGGCCACACTCCCGGGGCAGATTCTCTCTCCAACCGACAAGAGCAATGTTCTAGGAGGAACGGATCTATCTTACGACAAACAACAACGTAGACCTGTGGATCTGGGCATCCGTGCGCTCCCGCTATTCCCCGTTAGCCCCTTGTTTCCTTCCAAGTCGTAATGTTTAATACGCTGATCTGACATGAATCACGCGTGTGTTTGTGAGAAGTCAAAAGTCCGAGGTGAGCTTCTTAAGTTGCCCAAGATGTGTACGTAGAGCAATCGAATTTTCTCTGCGTTGAGTGAATCGCCGCCCATCCCCGTGTAG